ATGTTCTAGAACAATTTTTATGGCAGCAAAGTAGAGTAAGGACTGATATACAACCCAAAAAGAATATAGAACAAAATCTAATTCAGGCATTTTCTTTTAAATGAAAAAGTCAAGTTTTTGATTCAAGCAATAAGGCCAAGGTGTGACTTCAGTGACCAGAAATGAGCTAAAAGGCTTATTACTGAGTAAGGCACTAAGTTTACAATGAACATTTTTAAAAATCTATCCACAATGTCAAGACTGTAAATGCCTGTTTATCAGCCACTAAATGTGTCCTAAGAAACACTTAACACAGCCTTTACTTTTTTCCCCATCACCAGAATACCAATGTACTATTATTAAAGAAATAATCAAATTATTTACTATCTTCTAAGCTCTTACTGGACCCCTGGTGGTACAGTGGTTAAAGCCCTGGGCTGCTAACCAAAAAGGTTGGCAGTTCAAACCCACTAGCTGCTCCAGGGGAGAATGATGGGGCAGTCCGCTTCTGTGAAGATTTACAGCCTTGGAAACCCTATGGGGCAGTTCTACCCTATCCTACAGGGTCGCTATGAGTCAGAATCAACTTGATGGCAGTGGGTTTGGTTTTGGTAAGCTCCTACTGGATTAGACAGATGGGAAACTAACAAGGTCCCTTTCCTCTAGAGCCAGGGCTTATAAAGGGACCATGGGTTTCTGGGAAACCGACCCACCTGACTTTATATGCAAAAATGTATGCTGTATAATGTAAAAACATTTTTTTCTGGGAAAAGCAGCCAAGAGTCTATGGCCCCCAAAAGTCCAGAACCACATTCTCAGGAGTTTGGCCATTCACACACAATATACAAACACACATAAAGGTCAATGACAAAAAACCCAAACCCACTGCCATCTACTCCATTCCAACTCATAGTGACCCCACAGAGTTTCCAAGGCTGTAAATCTCTATGGAAGCAGAATGCCACATCTTTCTCCCGTACAGCCGCTGTCAGTTTCAAACCACTAAACTTTCGGTAAGCAGTCAATCACTTTAACCACCGTGCCACCAGGGCTCCTTAATGACAAAAAGAAAAAGAAAATAATTATTTGTCCATAGGTTCGTGATCCAGCCTCACAAACTCAAAAGCATTCATGTAGGATACTGTGGTGCTAATATTTCTGAGGCAGAAGGAATTCTCTTAGAAACTCAGTACACCAAGCACAATGTCCCACTCCTCCTGGGCTTTCCCACCTGCTGCTGGAGGACGTAGAGCATCCGGGCAGAACGCACGGCTTGCTCCTGTCTCCTGATTTGGACTCGCCGCTCTTCATCTGGATCCAAAGCCTCTTCTATTTTATCTGCAAAGATTGTTTTCCCCCAGAGTGAATTATAAACCATATATAAAAACTAGTCAAAAGAGATAATAAATTTTTAAATCTTTATTAAGGAAAAAAAAATGAGGCAGTCGTTTAACATCAGCCAAGAAACTAGGAAAGAGTGGGCCGATGCACCGACTCAGACACGGAAGGGCCATGAAGACATGGACTAGACTGAGCTCCCCTCCAGGCAGAGAGTCCCTGAACCAACCCCACTGGACAGACTATAACCCTGTGAGGCACTGCTCACTACTTTGGAATTCTTTATATTGAGCTAAAATCTGGCATGCTTTCTATTTTTTCAAAAAACACTTATTGGCCTATTTTTACGTTTAGCAAGATTACTTTCACACTTCCTTATCTTGAATCAAAAAGAGAAATCCTTTTTTGAGCATATTAAAATGGCAAGTGCTAAAATTACTAAATGTCTAAAGTCTTTATATATTTGTCAGGAAGCACATCCTTGTACACACTGAAGCTCCACATTTTCAAAAGACTGGTTCAAAGAAATCGTTTCTGGAGGATTGCCTGAGGGAGAGGCAGTCTTTCCGTTCCTCCCAGGCGGTGGTTTTCAAACATGTTTACACAAATTCTTGGGCAAAGCCCCAAAATATGAATCAGATAAAGCACCACTTTACTAGTGTAAGTGTATTTTATAAGTCTAAATTTTAAATATTTACTCAGTAAAACGCCAAACCATGAAAACAGTAAGGCTATTTTGCAGAAAGCAAAAATGTGAAATCAGGAATAGTGGACACAGATGCAGTCTTACAGGAGCCTATACGACCCAGTTATTTCTCTCCCATTCAAGCTGCACAGTAAGTAGGAAACTCGGGTTCACACATGTACATGAATACAAATGATAACTGACTTCCGCGGGGTTTTTTAACTGCTCACCTTGCGGATGATTCTGATGCAACCCGTCTACAGAGCAGCAACTCGGGAAACACTACCTGGCACTTCAGTGCCACTGAAAGGGTGGTCGGTGGAAGGCAGCCGCCCGCAAACCGTAATCAGTCCACGACAAGGTAAGCACAGAAATTGAAAGTATGCATTTACACATTTTTATAGCGGTCTGCCACTGTCGTGACATTTTTATTATACTTTACGGAAGTGTTGATTTGTGATGGAACGAAAATTAAAAACAAAAAACCCCATCCTTCCTCACGAATAGTTGAGCGCTACTCTAAAGGTTCACCTGGATTAGGCCAGATCAACAGAGCCGTGGCCTCATGGCTGGGGAGTCGTGCCACAGACCAACACCAACAGGTGTTAGAAGAAACAAGCCTCAGGGCGTTTGTTATTTTTATGCAGGGATGTTTCGGAATTATTCATGATATTAAAACATTGTTTTGTCTTGTTTTGTGAATTCTGGCTGCTAGAAAGCCCAGAGACACATCTGTAACCCTTCCCTTGTAAATCTTACTTTCTCCTGTGCCACAATATCCTCATTTACATATTTGTGTTTCATTTTGTTCAGTCACAGGTGTTTTTGTGAGGCACCTTCAATTCCTTACATAACATCTCAGGACACGCACGCATATACGAATTAAATGTGAAATGCATAAGAGAATTCTGGTTCCTGCTGATGTTCAACCTCTTACTTCTTGCAGTCTGAAAACTGGGCTTGATCCTAATTATTATCAGCTACGATAACCCCAAATTCTCCACAAGGAATCAATCCTCTACACCTAGGGACATACAAGCGCATTCAGAACACTGCAGAATTGTAGAGTAGAAAGTATATGATGATCATACACCTTCCTTTGTACCCTGTGATCCGAGATTTCACACTCAGTATATCCACAACTTCCCATCACCAGCATGTACTCATCTAAATATCACTAAAGTTAGAACTCGAATTTATTTGCATTATGCATACACTATGCTTTTTTTTCTTTTTTTTTTGAGAAAATTAAAAATAATTTTGCCAGAAGGACTTCTAGATAAATAAGGGAAATATTACAGGACAATCTGCACTCTGGTGTCAGAAGACCTAAGGTACAGGCAGCAGGTACTCCAAATCCTAGCTGGCCCTCAGTCAGTCCACTTACAAAGAGCACCCTAGTCAAGGAGCTGCTTCAAAGACCTCTGCTGGAAACAGGGATTAGAATAGAGCAAACTCTTCAGAGACAAAGATGCTAAACAAACTCCAAGTTCAAATGTCTTGTCATGCATGTTTCCACTCAAGTGAACCAACAAACAGAAGGAGGGATGGGAGTTTTGGGAGGTCCAAAGGAATACATTTGGATTACCTCACACTCACAGCATCTCCTCAAAGTGTGAAGAATCTAATTTTTCTCACCTTTTTTAGTTACTTCCTCAATTTTGTGGATACAACTGCTCAATTCTTTCTGGAGCCGCTGAACTTCCAACAGGCTTTTGTGTTCACCTATCCTGGAATGTGGCTGAAGTCCTGGATCCCGGGTGGGTGGCGAATTTTGCACGATAAGGTCTGGTTGTCCTGGATGAGATGTGTACAGGTATACCTTGGCACCTGAGCTGGAAATTTCAACTTTGGATGGCTGGTGGCTGCATGGGAAGACTTCATGACCTTTTGTTTCCTTCTTTTCTAACCTGTGTTCAGGTATTTTAGACTTCGTCGTATGTCCACATTTCTGAGAGATTTGGGGCTGACTTCTGAGATGATGTTCTTTCATGTGTTCTTCAAATTGTCTTCGTTTCACATCTCGTTTGGCTAGGTGGACAGCATAGCTAAGTTTCTCCTCTGATATGACGGAAAATGAAACAGAACTGCTCGGGTCAGGCCCATCTCTAAAATTCGAATCTTTACAATGGTATGATTCATTGAATGAGTGCTTCAGTTTTTCAATTCTAATTGCATGTGGACAGGAATATCTGATTGCCAAGTTGCTTGAATGTGTGGGAACATTCCTATTAAACTGCAGCTGGTTCTTTAAAAAACAAATAAAAAGTAAGCACACGTTAGATACGTGACACATTGCATAGCTGGTATATGCCTATAATCAAGTTTCTAAAATTTTACCCACGAGATTATTAGTGCTAAGAGGTATTTTTCTGTTTAATCAGCCTGAGTCCATTACACACTCCTGGTTCTATCCCACAATCACCCAGTCCCACAGTCTTATTCTTCTCTTTACTAAGATCATACTGGGATCTTCCCCTAAAACTCAACTCAAAAAGCTTCAAGCAGCAACCACTTAAGGAAGAGTGACCAATCCATTCTGAGCTCTCCAGGGAACTGCTCCCCAGTGGTGCCATCCAGCCACACCGGATCTCAGCCCTCTGACCATACCCTTTCAGATCTTCCTGCGATTTCTCACCTGATGGTTGGACCACGTTTTTATCCTCTACCTCAGTGCATCTTGCGCCAGACATTCCACTTAGGTTTTACCGTGCAAGCTTAAGTTTTAGTCAATTTTAATTACAGCAGATACAAGCTTTGTTTTGTTTTTCTTTTAACAAACACAGGCATGTTTCCACATTCCCACAGTTTTTATTATTTTTCATGATTTCGTATTCTAAAATTCAATGAGTGGCTTTTTCACACTTTAACTATAACCCTATTATCAAACATTTAGATTGTTCCAGATTTTCCACTAATAAAGCTACTGCTTTGATTAATATTTCCATCCATTTATCTCTTTTCAAATTATTTCCATAGGATAAATTCCCCATCCTGGGATTATTAGGTCAAAGGAAATACACAATTTATGGCTTTAAGTATGTATCCTCCTGAATGGACCTGTTAAAGACAGGTAAACAAGAGGATCTGTGCCTACAAATTCAACAAACCCTGTGCTGTATGCGTTAATCTTGAAGATAGCCTTCCCTGTCACGATTAAATAAGCGCGTATATATAATCATGTATATGAAAGTCACTTAAAAAAAAAAAAAAAAACAATGTGATAAAACTTCAGGGAAGTATTTCTGGGGGAAGAAAAAAAAAAAAAAGAGTAGTCAAAAGCCTCACTAGAGGAAAAAAGGCTTACCATTTGAAAGGGGCACAGACAGAGTACCTGAAACTTACGGACTTATTTGGGAAAGGTCTTTCCCCCAAAGAGTCAAAATAAGGCTAAGATATGTGGGAAATTTAATATAAATTCCAGGAAAAAAAAAAAAGGTGAATTTCTCTTTACCTGGGTGTGGGGAAAGGCTTTCTAACTATGACTCAAAATTCAGATGCAACAAAAGAAAAAACTGATAAATTTGACTACATAAAAATTAAAACAGTCAAAAAAAGAACTGATAAACTGGGAGAAAATATTTGCAACAGAAATCAAATATGAAGGGGTAATACCTTATGTACAGAGAAACTTTAAAAAGTAAGGTGAAAAAAGATCAAAACCCAATAGAAAATGGGAAAAAGACACAAACCAAAATATTCCAAATAATATATAAACATAGCCCTTAAACAGATGAAAAGATGTTCAATATCACAAGAAAAATACCAATTAAAATTACACTGAAATGCCGTCCCTGACCTATGAGATTAACAAAAATAAAAAAATATATAAAACACATTCTGCTAGTGAGGCTGTAGGGAAACAAGCACTTTCACACTGTGTTGGTGAGAAGGCAAATCGGTCCGACCCCTTTGGAGGGGAATTTGGCAACATCTAACAAAACTCCGAATGTGTTTACCTTTGGACCCGGCAGTCTCACTTCTAGAAATTTACCCCCAACAATACATATGCACAGGGTTATTCACTGCTAAACTGTTTGTGATTGGAAAATCCTGGAATCATCCTAAATGCCCACGTAGGAGAGTGGCTGAAAAACTATGGTTCACCCACACAATGGAGTACCTTGCAAATATAACAAAGAACAAGGAAGATCTCTGCGAACTGATGTAGAGCAAGTGCTCAAACATATTGTTCAGTGAAAAGTGCAAAAAGAGTATAATATGCTATTCTTCACACAAAAAAAAGGGGACGTGAGAAAATATACGTGCATCTGATCATTTGTGGAAAAAAAAAAACAAACCCAGGAAAGACAAACCCGAGACTGAGACTAGTTATCCATAGGGTGTGGGTGGGAACTGGGTGAGAAGGATAGAGAGAATAACACTTCCGTGAATCTATTTTTTTGTACAGGTATATTTGGAACTATGTTAATATTTCCCACATACCAGAAAGAAAAATAGAAGGAGGGAGGGAGGGAGGAAGAAAAAAAAGAAAAGAAAACAAAGTCCATGAGGATGGGGGAAACCCCTAAAAATGAATACAAGCAGAAACAAATGAATGGAACTGAATTTCAAATGAATAACGTAAGTACACTATGGTGGGGGGGGGGTGAAAAAAAAGTTAACCAAAGTATCTTTTGAACATGGTATTTGGACTACAGGTCCTCAGGATAAAAACAGAAAGTACTCTAAACAAATATTGAACTCTAATTTGTAGGCTTTTTTTTTTTTGCAGAGGCATGGGTTGAAATTCTGAAACTACTTTTTGTGCATTCTAGGATTACACAAGTAAGTAAACATATCGTAGATAATGGGAGCCAGGTTTCATACTGCTGGAGAAGGGGATTACAAATACAGAAAGTGTTGGAAGGAAGTTGGTGACACCTGTGTGAACTCATGGTTTTTAATTTAGATATACAGACAGAAAAATAGCTTAAATGATAGAAAGAAGTGGATATAGAGCTACATGCGTGTGGATCTGTATACAAGTATGTATGTTTGCAGGTATATATGCACACAAATACACACATACACTTCCTAACTCTGTTCTCTAAGAGGACCTAGAAACAAGGACAACTTAGTGGTAATGAGAATACCTAGTACCCAGATACTCATTTCTGAATACCGTTCTCCACTAAAGGGGATCAGGGCTCTTTGGATAAACGGCTGATTCCACGGCTGGGACAGGGAAAGGACAAGCTGAGTCTGGAATATCTGTTTGGAATATGTTTGTGTGGCCAAAAGTAATCTAAGATTAATGGGAATACATCAAAGGGACAGAGGAACCAGCTTGAAGTGATTCTTTTCAAAGACAATCTGAACATCAAAATAAATAATAATAGTAAAGAATTTAAACTACTAAATAACTTAAGAATCTATGAGCCCCCACTAATATATAGATAGACAGATACAGAAATAAATGAACGAGAGAAGAGACAGTTCTTCCTTACAGTAAGAAGCCAGCTAATAAATGTAGAAGGCATGATGAAGTTAGAAAATCACCATTTACCAACCATCATAATAAAAAACTGATTCAGGCAAGAATCAGTAATAAATGCTAAAACTAGTGGATGAGTTTGAATAGTAAAAGGATATTTACAAAATCTCAAAGATACTTTTTATTTACAAAACTTAAGAGTAACTACAATGCGGATATCTGGCAGAAACCATCTTAAATCAAATGATGTAAGTTAGCACTGCCAGCAGTGGGACGAATCTACAGCATGTGCCTCCTGATATGGTGCTGAGAAGGTCTCAACATCATTTCAGTAGTCTTCCTGCCACAAGTGCCTAACCTAAATCTAATTATGAGAGGACATCAGATAAACCCAAATTGAGAGAAAATTCTCAAACAACTGGCCTGTATTCTTCAAAAAGGTAAATGTCATGAAATACAGAAATTGTTCAGATTAAAGGAGATTAAAGAGACAACTAAATGCAACTCATAATTTTGGCTTTTCTTTTGCTATAAAAGACATTATTGGGACAACTGACAAAATCTCAATAAGGTCTACAGATTATATGAGAGTATTATTTCAGTGTGAATTTCCCGATTTTGATCATTGTACTATGGTTATTCAAGAGAATTCCTTGTTTTTAGGAAATACGTACAAGAACTTAGTGGTAAAAGGACATCCTGTCTGCAACTCACTCCAAGAGTTTAGAAAATAATATGTCTGTGTATGTGTGTGTGGAGAAAGAGAAAGAGAGGGAGAGAGGCAATGTTAACATTTGGGGACTCTGGCAGAATGGTATCCAGGAATTCTGTGTACTGTTCTTGCAACTTTTCTGTCAGTCTGAAATTATGTCAAAAAAAAATTTTTTTTTAAACCACAACATTACTACACAGCCTCCAGAATGGTGAAAAGGAAAAAGATTCACAACACCAAGCGTTGGCAAAGAGGTGGAGCAAATGGAGCTCCCACACCTTGTCAGTAGGAATGTAAAATGATATAACCACTTCGTAAAAAGGTCTGACAGTTTCTCATAAAACTAAATCTACACCTACCCTAGGATTCAGCAACTTCACTCCAGGTATTTACCCAAGAGAAATGAAAATACGTTCACAAACAGATTTGTACAAGAAGGTTTATAGCAGCTTTATTTATAACAGCCCTACACTGGAAACAGCCCAGGGGTCCATCAACTGGAGGACGGATAAGCAAACTGTGGCACACTCACATCATGGAATATGACTCAGTATAAAAAGGAACAAACTACCAACGCATGCAACAATCTGGCTGAATCTCAACAGCACTGTACTAGGTGAAAGAAGTCTTACCCAAAAGTGTAGGTACATGAAGTTCTAGAACTGACAAAACTAATCTCTGGTAGAAAAAATTAGAAGAGTGGTTGCCTCTGGAGGGTAGGGGTGAAGACTGACTGAAAAGTGGCACAAGGGAACTTCCTGAGGATATGGAAATGATCTGTATCTTAACACAGGTACGGGTTACACGAGTACTTACCTTGAAACTCAACAAATATGACTTAAGATGTGTGCATTTCCGTGTAAATTTTACTTTAAAAGAAAAGAAACTGTAAACAAAGACTGAACTCTAGCTTAATGATTTGCGTGGTAAAGTATTTAGGGTACCAGTGTCTGCAATTTACTTTGAAATGTGTCAAAAATAATATGGATTGATGGATGAATCTCTAGAGGGAGGAGTTGAAAAATAGGTATGTGATAAAACCAAGAAAATAAAATATTAATGCTAGGTATCCACTGTAAATTTCTTTCAACTTTCAAGACATTTTGGGGTCAACTGGGTATATGACTGGAATAAGACTAGCTATTAGCTAATATTTGGAAATTATTATTTTTGGTGAATTTTCTTAGGTGGGATAATGGTATAAAGATTAAGTAGGAGAGTTTATTTTTAGGAGCATTCTAAAATATTTAGTTAAAAAAAGAAAACTACCTGGGTCTGAAGTTTCCTGGGGTCACATCTCCCATCTAGTTGGACATCAGATGCAAGATGAACACAGGTCGGAACAGGTCTACCTGGTCCCATCACGTTGGGTGGTGTAGAACAAGAGTAGAAACCTAGTCATCAGCCAACAGATCTTCCCTGAAACCATTGCCTAAAATGAAAGAAGGCTACTTTCAGACCAACAGTCTTAAAGGAAAAGAATAAAGAAAACACAAGGGCATGCACACAATAACAATATTCTAAAAGTAGTCCATAACAAACTCATACTAAACAGTGAATACTTAAGGACAGGTATATGATAGCTTTTTCCATTTACAAAAGCAATTACACTTCTGGAATTCTCATTTCTAAAAGAATAGGAGCACACACTATTTTAATGACAATGTCTTGCACTCTTTTCATTCCAAATTTCAAAGGTCTCCAGTAGAACATTACTCCCAAAACAGAGCTCTGCTGTGGTAATCTAGCACTTTCCAGTAGGGCGGTTTTATCAACATAGAGTCTACATTAGTAGACTAGTCAAAGAGCAATATGCCTCACTCTATCAGGCTGCCCAAATGGACATATCTCTGAATGGCTCTAAGTAAACCTACAGGATCAGGGTATCTGGATTTCAGCCAGGATCTGCCACTAACTTGCTGAGGGACCTCTCTAAATTTTCAATTTCCCGTCTTCCCACTGCCTGTACACACACACGATGACAGAACAGACATAAAAGCACTTTGTAAAGTATAAAGGGCAATACCCACACCATTCCCTCTCCCTGTTCTGAATGCTCCATACACTTTACTACTGCTAACACTCATCATGGTGCTTAGCACACACGGTGCTGGCTCATATTGTTATTTACCTATTTCACGGGTATCTGTCTCATCTTCCCAGCTAGACAAGGTTCCTTGAAGGTAAGGGCCTTGTTTTGCTCTTCTATTTCCCACAACACAGTGTTCTGAGCATAGCAGACAAACCCTTGTTAAGCTGAATTTCTGTAAGCTGACTAGTTTTAAATGCACTGGGCAACTTGTTCTCTCAAGGAATCCTATAGCAAATCATTTGGGAAAGGTTAAAAAAAAATAAAACAAAAACAAATCTCTAATTTAAGCTTCTGAATAAATCCAAGGTTTGTAGACTGGATTTGCTTAAAGACAGACACATCTGTAGGGGTAGAAAGGTAGCTGTCCGAGATTCCTTATTTCTAAAGCAGCTGAGACATGATTAAAAAAAAAAAAAAAAAAAAGACGGGAGGAGGCACAGGAACGAAGCAATCTCGAACAGCTTCACACCGTCACAGTTCAGTGCTGGAGTCCGCAGAATGGAGCCTGCAGAAGCAGGGCCGGGGCGTCGGCAACCTTTACGTGGCCAGCACTTCCCCCTGGATGCGTCCATGCGCCAAAGGCCTCATAATTCATTCTCCATTAGGAAAAGACTAGGATTCACAGCTCCAGGATACCTCAAGTGACGCTACATACACACACACATACACACTCATAAAGCCCAGGGACACCCACCCCTGACTGCCCCTCTACACAAAGTCCTGGGACAACCCTCACTTTGCAACCTATCCCTTCCCACTGTTCCAGGAAGCCTCCCAATTTGTTACCCTACACACCCTGAGACATCTCCACAAAGTATCTCTCTCCCCTGTTCTGAGACACTATAGCCTGTGCCTTCAAGCCCAGAACCAACCTCCCCCCAACCTGTTCCCTCCCACAGAGCCCCAAGACTCCCTCCCCCCCGAACTTGTTCCCTTCACATGCTACTGGGATGCCCCTCTTAATCTGTCCTCCTCCACGTAATTCTCTCCCAAATTGTCCCCCCTCACTCTGATTCCAGAAAGTCTTCCAGCCTGCCTCCTCCCCCTCTGCTGGGGATGACCTGTGAAATGGCCAAAGCCTGTTTCCTCCCTTGAAACTGGAGGCATCCCTGCAGCTTCAGGCACCCCCATAGCCATTCTTGTCCCTGACACTCCGGGAACATTCCAGGAGTCTGTTTCTTCTTCCACAGATCTGGGACAGCCCCATAACCTGCCCCCACCCCCACAAGTATGCAACACCCCCACAGCCTGTCTCCTCCCTGCCAGTTCCAGGATGCTTCTACCTCCTGTCTCCTCCCTTGAAGCCCCAGGCCCCTCTGTGGACTCTCTCACCACTGTCAGGCCCGAGACACCCCTGTTTGTTTCTTCTCCTATAGACCTAGTCACCCACACTGCAGCGGGCACCCGCCCAGGCATAGGTACTCCCACAGCTGCAAGCACCCCCGAAGACTGAGGCCTCCAAACAACCTCAGGGACTGTTCTGGTCTGTCTCCTCCACAGGCCTGAGACACCATCAGAACCAGTCTCCCCTTCCACAAGGCCAGGAACACTGGCAGCAATGGGTACTCCAGTAGCCTGTCTCCTCCCCCATATGCCTGAGACGTCCTGAGAGCTGGTACCCCCCAACAGAGGCCCAGGGGCCCCAGCAGCTGTGCGCACTCCCATGGCCACAGAAACCCCAGCAGCCGCAGGCATCCCAGCAGTCTGTCTTCTCCCCGATATGCACAAGAGACCCCCCGAGTGTATCTCTTCCCCCACAAGCCCAGAGGCTGTGCGCAGCCCCAGAGCCATGGGTACCCCTGCAGTCAGTCTGCCTCCTGACAAGCCTGAGATGTCCCCAGAGCCAGTCTTTTCCCCCATGGGTCCAGTCATCCTGACAGACGTGGGCATCGTGGGACCCCCGGCATCTGCAGGTACTCCTGCAGTCTCTCTCCCTCCCCATAAACCTGCGTCACCTCCAGAGCCCATCTCTTCCCACACAATTCTAGGCCTCCTGGGTGCCATGGGCATCCTGCCAGCTGTGGACACCCCTACAGCCACAGGTAATTGTGCAGTTTCTCTCCTTCCCAACAAGCCTGAGAAACCTCCAGAACCAGGCTCCACACCTGGAGGACTAGGCACCCTAGGAGGGGTGGGCACTTCACCAGCCACAGGAACCCTAGCAGCCTGCTTCCTTTCCCACAATCTTGGGACACCCCCAGAGCCAAGCTCCTCCCCCACAGGCCCAGGCACCTCAGGATCCACAGAAACCCTGGTAGTTATGGGAACCCCGACAACCTGTCTCCTTCCCCATGATCCTGGGAAAGCCCTAGCACTAGTATCCTCCCCAATAGACCACAGCTCCTCAACAGCCACAGGCATCCCCGAAGCACTGGGCATTCGGGGAGTATGAACCCTTTCCCACAGGTTCAAGACATCTCTAGAGCTGGCTTCCTGCCCCATAGGGCCAGACACCCACACAGCAGCAGGCACCCTCTCAGAGCTGGGCACATCCACAGCTGTGGGGACCCCTACTGGAGTACACCTGTGCTTAGGCACACTTGCTGCCTCAGGTATCCCCACGGTCGCAGACGGCCCCACAGCCTGTCTCCTCCTGCACAGGCAGGAAACATCCCCAGAGCCAGTCTCTTGATCCACAGGCCCAGACATCTCTAAAGCTGTAGGCACCAGAGTCTCTTGCTCTCCCATAACCTGCCTCCTTTCCCACTGGCTCAGGACATGCCTGCAGCATGTCTCCCCCCTAACAACTCCTGGCACTGTCTCAGCTGGAGGCGCCCCCAAAGCCTGCTGTCTGTACCCCAGGCCTGGGGTACCACCATAGCCTGTCTCTTCTGCCATGGCCCGTGGGACCACCACAGCCGGGGCCACCCCCACAGGCTCTTCTGTTCCCCATTGACCGGGGACATGCCCACAGCCTGTCTCCTCACCCAAAGTCTTAAGTACTCCCATTGCCTGTTTCACCCCCCACAAGACTGGGGCACCCCCAGAACCTGCCTCTTCCTCATCAGTACCAGATACTCCCACATTCTGAATAGCTCCCCATAACCTTGGGTGTCCTCCAGAGGTGGTCTCTACTCGCACAGCTTGTCCTCTTTCTCGGAATCCTGAGTCACCCCCATATCTGGTTTCCTCTTCAACAGCACAAGGCACTCCTACAGGCTGTCCTGTGCCCCATAGGCCAGGAATACCCCCAGAGCTTATCTCCCCCACAGCTTGTCTTCTTTGCCACATGCCTGGGGCACCCGCAGACCCAGTCTCCTCCTCCACAACATCAGGTACCCCCACAGCCTGTCCCCTTCCCCATATGCTTGGGGTATTGCCACAGACTGCCTCTTCTCCCAGAGCACCAGGCACCTGTGCGGACTGCCCTCTCCCCCACAGACCTGGAGCACCCTCACAACCTATCTTTCCCTCCACAGCTCTGGACACCTCTGCAGCCTCAGGCCACCCCATGGACCCAGGCACCCCCTTAGACTGTCCTTTTCCCCAACAACCTGCGACAACCCCACAGCCTATCTCCTCCACTACCCCAGGCATCCCCACATGTCCCCTCCCCCATCGGCACAAGGCAATCCCAGAACTTGAATCCATAGTATCAGGCATCCTCACAGCCTGTCCCTGCCCACACAAACCTAAAGCCGCCTTGTAACCTGCCACTAACCCCTTAGCTCTAGGTACTCCTGTGGCCCGAGGGACTGCCCTAGCCTGTCCTTTCACCCACGGCCCTGTGAGACCACCACGGCTTGTCTCTACCCAAGAAGCCTGGCCAGGGACACCCCTTTCAACGGGCCCCTCCCCTGCCGGCACAGGGTAGAGCTCAACTCTGCTTTCTTCCCCACATCCTGAAGCTGCCCTCATAGCCTGTACCTTCAGCCACAGTTCCAGAATGCTCCCATGCCCCAGAGATCCAGGACGACCTTTTCTCTCACAGCCCAGAAGACTCCTATCGTCTGTCTCTTCATCGCAAGTTCCAGTCACCCACACAGAGCCGGTAGGCCCCACCACCTCGGGTTCCCCCACAGCCCCGTTTACCCACACAGTCTCTGGGTTTCTTGCAGCCTCAATAGACCCTGGAGTCTCAGGTGTCCCCAGGGCCTCATTCACCCCAACAGCCCCTGCTGTCTCCGCAGCTTGTCTCCTCCCCCGTGGCCGCCGACACTCCTGCAGCCTCTCTGTACTCACACAGCCAGTTCCCCACACCGAGAACCTCGACTGGCGCTTGGCTCCACGGCCTCGAGGCGCCCCTGCAGCCCGTCTCCTCCCCCAAGGCCTCCGAACTCCCCGCCTCGGCCTGTTGGTCCCCAGACAACGGGCTGGCATCTCCGCGGCTTGCTCGGCCCTGCGCAACCTAGGCAAGGACCCACGGCCAGTCGCCCTGCTCGTAACTCCAGACCACTTCTTCCCCAACGCACTCCTCAGAGCACTCTTTGTAAGCACCTCGCTCCCAGCGCTGCTGCACACACGCACTCTCACACTCAGCTCCGGCCCTCGCAGCCTTTCTCCCTGCCAGCGCCCCCACCCTGCCCCACCCCCGCCCAAACTCGGACGCCTGCCGCGCCCCCCCCGCCCCCAGTCCCAGGTCCCCCAGAAGACTTAGCAGGAGATAAGGTAGTTGGGGGGGTATGCAGCGGCAGGGTCTGCCCTGGGGTCAAGGTCTTCTCTTCCCCCAGGTCTGTAACTCCTAACGCAGCTTCCCAGAATCCCCCCACCTCCGGCCCGAGCCCACCTGGCTTGGGGCGAGGAGCCGATCCCGAAAGGCGGGTAGGAGCCCCCAACTAGGCCTCGCTTCCGGCCGCCCGCCCAGTCGCCATAGCAACAGGCGCAGGGCGGCTTGGGAGTAGTTAAGGCTCTTAAGCTACCTAAGGGTCCAAGTGTTGTAAGGCAGCAGGTTTTGCAGCCAGTGTACGTGGAATCAGGGCCAGGACCAGATTAGGGCAGAAGCCTGGGTTTGGGGGAAGCTAAAAACTGGTATTGGAGTTAGCACCGAAGGACTCGGGAAGCGAGAGCAGAAAGACGATGCGGACTAGTTATGGCCTCCAGAGGCTCCCGTAGCTGCGCTGACTTCTCAGACACCTCCCCCCTCTTAGCCCACCCGGAAACACCTCCTCCGCCCCTCGTGGGCCCCGCCCCGTGGCGGCCCGATAGAGGATTCCTTAAGCAATCTGTAGCACTCTCTCCAGATGGCCCGCTACGAGGAAGTCAAGGTGTCTGGGTTCGAGGAATTCAGCGGGGCTGTGGAGCAGCACAGTGGCAAGACCATTTTCGCCTACTTTACCGGTTCTAAGGACGCTGAAGGAAAAAGCTGGTGCCCCGACTGCGTGCAAGGTGAGGCCGGGATTCAGGGGCTGCTGCCTAGCCTGTCTGGCCACGACCATAAAGCTGGGTTGAGAAGAGGCAGAGGAGGGAGCCGTGGTCCCAGAGATCTACGGGGCGATCTGAGCTGTCATCTTGACTCCTTTTCCCACCCTGTTCACTTCTTTTCTGCTCTTAAGCCCTTCCCCGCCCTAAGAGCGCTCTTCTTTTTACCACGTATTACTTCATTCGGACCCAGATGATCTTGGAATCTAGTTCAAGACATTTTCCACTTCCGCAGTATGATTAGTGTCTTATGGGAGATGTAAGTTGATCTTCTTTCGATAGATAAGTCAGCCAAGTGTTTGGGTCCTTCATTGCTTTCGGCGCTGTGGAATGTGGGCAATTAGGACTCCGACTTGGTCCTGACATTTAAAGTGAGTCTAAGATCATAAAGGAGCCTGGTGGCGCAGTGGTTAAGTGCTCGGCTGTTAACCAAAAGGTCAACTGTTAGAATCCACCAGCCGCTCCTTCGAAACCCTACGCGGCAGTTCTACTGTCCTGTAGGGTCGCTATTGACTGCAACCGGTTAAGACCAGAAGAGAGCATCTGACTTATGCTGACCTTCTCTGTTAACTTTAGGTTAAAGTTTGATTACTTACCGAGAGGAGAGAGAGAAGCTGTTTATCCGTGTTAATGTGTTATTATTTTATATCAACTTTTTTTTTTTTTTTTTTAAAGCTGAACCAGTCGTCCGAGAGGGTCTGAAGCATATTAATGAAGGATGCGTGTTCATCTACTGCCAAGTAGGAGAAAAACCTTAGTAAGTGGCAATGAAATGCTATATTTCACAGATATGCAAACTTAGGCAGAAAGGGCTCTGACTCAGGTGAATTCTGAGGTAAAGTCTGGTAAGTGAAACAATTAGAAGTTATTAAAATACAAATTTCCAGCCGCTAGTATTTAGTAAAGGTAATTCAATGAATTTGGCCTGGTTTAAGTTCAAAACTTAACTGGCTTTGCATTTATTTTATATATCTCAGTCACACTTTACATGAAAACTTTGCACAGAGTAATAAGTCATAGTCCTCAAGTTTTTTAAATGTTTACAACAAGAACAATAATTGCTACAAGACTAAATGTAGGAGTATATCAAAATATCAAGCAAACTGGAAGAAACCAAACAAGTTTTTTTCATGATTGCTTTCTTAATAGCTGGAAAGATCCAAATAATGACTTCAGAAAAAAGTTGAAAGTAACTGCAGTGCCTACACTACTTAAATATGGAACAGTGAGTATTTTTCTTCAAACATTTTGGGGCTATAATTGTTTCTACACTGTCAAAACTGTCTTAACTGTTCTGGATTCAAATTTCAAAAGATACTGCTGTTTGATCCCAAATATCACGTTGCTGTCAGAGTGCGTTCAAAATTTTTAACCTGGCTGTCCATCTCTACGGCCAATACCAGTAAACTGTTAACGCAAATATCTAACCATTAGGACTTTTCCGTGTTTTTTTAAGCATTCTTCTTTAAAAAAAAAAAAAAGCTCTTTAAGCAGTCCTCAATAAAGCTGATTAAGTCATAACTCCTTAAAGCATTAGCATCTATTATTTTCCATTTAATGCATAATTCTGATTAAAAAGAAAGTTCAGTCATGCATCTGGTATCCTGAAGAGTTGAGGGGAAAGGGATGGCACTGGGCACGCTGTCTCTTGTTTTAGTGTGTACACCTTCCTGGTATCTTGGGTTTAAGTCCCTTGAGCCAAGTATTTTAATGATTTCATCTTGAGGCAAATATTTTAAACAATTTCATAAAACTTGTTACAACCAGTCAGTAGTTTCTGAATGGCATAATTTTTGTGTTCCAAGATTTGTGTCATTTCAAGCTAGAACAATGCACTCCTAACATTTTGTAGCAGTGTATTAAGATTTGACTGTTCTTCTCTTACAGCCTCAAAAACTGGTAGAATCTGAGTGTCTTCAGTCCAGCCTTGTGGAGATGTTGTTCTCTGAAGATTAAGATTTGATGATGGCAATTGTATCTTGATTTCTTAATCTTGCTCTAGAAATGCATACTTGCTTATTAAATAAACGATGATGTAAAAAAAGGTTGGCATATGTCTAAACAAAAGTGCACTATTAAAATGCTCATGAACCCTCCATCTGCACTGTATGTATACCTTTAAGATAGGGGTAAAATAACTCTTCCAGATTAGCAGTAATACAAATGTATTACCGGAGGTGAAACACTTAAACACCCTTAATATCACAGTGGACAGCTTCTAAATCTCTAAAGGGATTAAGGTATCTTTTACCTAAATTCCATGAATTTGCAAATCAATTGAGAATCCTAAAACCCTTTCTTTGGCTTTAGAATAGAACTTAATCACTGAAGGAAAGCATCTAATCCAGCCTCTGCTTAATCTGGGCAGTTTGTTTTGCAGCTGTCTAAACATGCTTCACTTAGGATGAGGTGGGTGGCAGAGAGGGGACTCGGGAAACTAGCCTAGTGGTGTGAAGAACCACCACTTACTAGCTGTGTACCCTTAGGCAAGTTACTTAGCCGGTCTAAACCTCAGTTTCCTCTTCTATAAACAAGGATTATTCTGAGAATTAAATAAGAACCTAAACAAGCACTTAACTGCCTGGTTTGTGGTATCTGCCAAATAAATGTGAGCTTCCCTGAGTGAGCACAAGTACTTGAGGCTCCATTCTGGCCTCAAGTCAAAAGTCCAATTAGTAGTTAACCACCAATCTTCTCCCTGCCACCACTAGGTCAGCAACATACTAGCGATTCTTAAAGCTACCTTGCGAAGCAAATGGGAATACAGATATGTATCACTGTATAAAGCTCAGAACCTTTGTGTAGTTCCCGCTCTACAATTAAGAGATCACTGACTCCATTCCTCTTGTTCTGTCATCCTAGAGACAGTGAGGTTCCAGGAGGTCAACCTGCCCAAGGTACCACTGTGTATCAACAGCAGAGCTCAGTTGAGGGTTTGGTATATTCGGTGGCCCTGCCCTACCCTATACCCTATCCCCGACAGTCTGCTTAAATTGGTCCAAAGCATCTAAGGTTTCCATTCTTACTCAGCTGACTATGTTTAAAAAAAAAAATAATGAAAATTTACAAATCCACAGGGAGCTCAAAAGTAGAACAATTTTCATTTAACAGAAATAATCTATTAACAATAAAGTTAGTTGGGTTAGACAGCACACTAAAGGGTCTAGGTGCTACCATAATAAGGGTAGATAGAAAGAGACTTTTGTCTTTACTGTACAAAAGAAATACATTATGTACATGTCTTCAGAGAGCCTGCTCTGTATCTCATTTTCATTTTCCTGATGTGTTATTTTGCTGTTGCTGCTCTGCCAGGGCTTGCTGAAGGCGCATCCGCTTCCGGGAATAGTGCTGCCAGTGCAGAATTTGCTGTTCATCGATAAATTTCGCACACTGAGCATTGACCAGCTCCTTGCGGAAGTGTTCATATTGGAGCAGTTCTAACATGTGTAAACACTGAGGATACCTGGGTTTAAGTTGATAAGTTAATGACAACATAATTTAAGTCAATAATGCCAAGCTCTAACTCATTTAAAAATGGTCTTGTAGACTACCATTTCTATTAACATTAACTTAGTACACTTTGGTGGTACAGTCTTTTTCCCTCTGCTTACTGAGAGAAGCTAGTCATTAAAAAGTCAGAATGAAGGAAAAATTTCAAGTGATAAAATTTAAGTTCATAAAGATTAACTTGCCCAAGGCCACACAGTAACTTGTGAACAGAGTCAATATTTGCAGCCAAATCATGTTCAATTGTATGTTTAACTGATAAGTACTAGTTTTTCATCAACAGTGATAAAAAGAGAACTTTTAATTTAAAAGTGAGTCAGTTTCAAAAAGAACCATGTACAAATGTTACACTCAAGTTTTTGACAGGGATACAGCAATTCTAAAATTACTTTATGTATACTCTGGAATTGAGCAAGTAAGTATATTGTAGACAAAGAGCCAGATTTCTGTCTATCAGGAAAGGAATTACAGATAAGGAAAGCGGAAAGTCTAGAATAAACCTTTTGTTGTTGGGCTGGAATCGAAAACATCTGTATGAACTCATGACTTTTAATATATACAGAAAGATACAAAAATAGAGGTGTTTATGTGTAAATGTGTATCCATCTATTTCCTAGTTTTGTGTGTTGAGATGGCATAGAAGCAATGACACTGTGGTACCAATGAGCACACTTGGTGCCCAGGTGGTGGTTTTTAAATACTATTTCCCAGGGTTTCTTGCAGAAATTGCTGATTCCAGGGCTAGGGCAGGGAAGTAAAAGATGAGCCTGGATCATTATGTGCTGCCAAAAAGAAAAAAAGTGTTTAAAAGATGATGGGCACATGTCAATAGTACACAAAGCCAATATGAAGGGGCTACAAATCTGAAATAATTAGAGCAAGAAAATACAGAATTATAACCTACAAGATAAAACAAGAATCCAAGAGTCTATAAAAATTCATTAAATGAATAAACAAATCAGAGACAAGGCAATGCTCTTCCTTGCAAAAGAATTCCAACTAATAAAGGTAGAAGGAATGATGGAATTAGAAAATCACCACAGTAAAAATTGTTTAGGGCAAGAATCTTCAGAAGATGCTAAAATTAGTGGGCAAAAGCATGACATGAAACAAGATTTTTACACAGTCTCAAATTATCTCCCCACAAGATACTTATTAAATACAAAAGGAAAAACAGTAACTTAATAGTAGAGAAACTGGCAGCCAGCACCTTATTAACTAAGAGATGAAACTTAACTCACCACAGTAGTGGGTCAAAATAACTTCATGTGCACATTGCATAACCTGAATGATCAATAAATGAGTTACATACTTAAAAAAGTCATGGATGTGAAGCATGTGGACAGTGCTTAGCACATAAAAAAAGACAGCAGCTGTAAGACTTACAAATTTACCTTGTCCACCTCAACATAAAGAAAACAAAAATCCTCACAACTGGACCAATAAACATCATGATACCAAACCTGTTACCGTCAAGTCAACTCCAACTCATAGCGACCCTATAGGACAGCAGAACTGCCCCATAGGGTTTCCAAGAAGCGGCTGGTGGATTCAAACTGCTGACCTTTTGGTTAGTAGCCGAGCTCTTAACACTATGCCACCAGGACTCCAACATCATGATAAATGGAGAAAATACTGAAGTTGTCAAGGATTTAATTTTACTTGGATCCACAATCAACACTCATGGAAGCAGCAATCAAGAAATCAAATGTTGTATTGCATTGGGCAAATCTGCTGTAAAAGACCTCTTTTGAGTGTTAAAAAGCAAAGGTGCCACTTTGAGGACTAAGGTGTGCCTGACCCAAGCCATGGTATTTTCAATTGCCTCAAATGCATGCAAAAGCTGGACAGTGAATAAAGAAGACCAAAGAAGAATTGCTGTCTTTGAATTATGGAGCTGGTGAAGAATACTGAATATACCATGGACTGCCTTAAGAACAAACAAATTTGTCTTGGAAGAGCTACAGCCAGAATGCTCCTTAGAAGTAAGGATGGCGATACTTCATCTCATGTACTTTGGACATGTTATCAGGTGGGACCAGTTCCTGGAGAAGGACATCACACCTGGTAAAGTAAAGGGTCAGAAAAGAGGACGACACTCAACGAGATGGACTGACACAGTGGCTGCAACAATGGGCTAAAACAGAGCAACAACTGTGAGGATAGCACAGGACCGGGCAGTGTTTCCTTCTGTTATACATAGGGTCGCTATGAGTCAGAACCAACTCAATGGCACCTAACGAGACACCATCTTGTCCAGGGCCTCAAAAACACCTTCCCTACAAGTACCCCGTTCTGTGTTCTGTAATTTTCAGCCTATGGCTATGTCATTGTACTTATAAGCTGGGGTTTCCTTAGGGTCAGAAACTGAGTGAGATGGAGTGGGTAGTACAAGACAGGGTCAGACAAGAGGGGGCCAGATCATATAGGGACTTAGCCCATGGAAAAACGACTAGATTTTATTATCCATACAAGGGAAAGCTATTGAAAAATCCTTGCAAGAAAGTGACATGTTCTGATTTACATTTTTAAGAGATCAAATTAACTTCTGTGAAGAAAATATTGATTTGCTTAGTTTGGTTTGGCGTTGAGGGAGGGAGGTGAGTGGAAGCAGAGATAACCAGTGAGTAGATCATTGTAATCCAAGTTAGCAGATGACGGTGCTTTGTATTAAGGTGGTGGCAACTAAAAGAGGTCCAGAGTATCAAAATATATTTTTTCCAATGTGAAACTAAAGTCTGTTAAATATCAGTGTTTTGGAGTATAATAAAATATATACACATATTTAGAATTATAAAAAACTAAACTTACTTTAGATACTTGGCATATTCTGGTTCTTTCCAGTAAAGCAAGTATTTTAGATAATTGACAAAAGCTTTGTCTTTGAAGTAACCTCTTTGAGCGAGAACTGAAAGGCACAAAAAACAAACAAAAAAAAAAAACTGCAGGTCAAACCAATCCTTGGGCACTGGTTTGTGACTCCTAAAATAAATCTACTTACTTTAACATCCCCATCACCAGCACACACTGAATTCAAAACAAGTCCCAGAGTGCTCAATTACATCTACACACCAGTATAAATGCAGTACTAATTCCACTCAATTAAGTTAGAATGTATAAAAATAACTACTATTATGAACTGCAACTCTTCTGTCAGAAATCATTAATACATACTCAATTTAAGGAGGCGCTCAACAACTTACAATTAAGGTAATTTGGGTTGGCTAAACACTGCACAAATTCCAACTCCAGCTGAAACCGAAGTCTATTTCCAGCATCATCTAGGACAGAAGACATCAAAAATCATCCAAAATAAAGGTCACTATATATAATACTGATTTGTAGAATGACAGGAATAAAGCAACCTGACTAATGCTGAAGTACATTTCTGTATAAAGAAGGGTATATGATGGTTTTCCTAAACTGGCTGTGGGAGGAGGTAAACCTTCCTTAGGAGTCTAAGAAAAGAGCTCTGATTAAAACGAATAAGTTAGGAGTTTTTCTAAGGTGAAAGAGAAGTCATCAACGAAAACAGGAACACATGGGATACCTACCATTTGTGGGCCACTACGTAGGGGTTTGAGCCGTGATCACTGACATAGGCTGTAACAACTGTGCCTTCCTCTATCTTAATAATGCATTATAACAATTGTTAAGTTACTAAACTAAGCTAAAGTTCAGTGAGTGGTAAATCAAGAAAAAATTCAAAATCCAAGCCAAAAAAGAGACTACAGAGAGTGTGAAAGATCATGAAGTATGTGCATACATAAAAAGCTTCAATAATAGTAGACTGATACACAAGTTTGTTGACGGTATTTCAAACTTGTGCAAGCTTATCTGAAACACAGAAAACCAATCGAGGAGACGGTTTAAAATACAATCTCTCCCCCTTAGTCTCGCCCACGCCGGGAAGCCAATGGGATTGGTGTTTGAATAGCAAGTGCAGAGAAAATATTTGAGAACGAACGAAACTCTTAAAAGGCTAAAACTACCTTCGCCTTTCTAGACGCCACAAGAACCATTGCCCCTCCCTGTCCGAACTCTAATCCTGCCGGGAGTTAGGCCTGAAAGGAGGCCAAGAGGTAGCCGGAAATAGTGTCCGAACCGAATATAGTTCTATTTGCGAATATTCGAAGCTCAGAGCACCCCTTACCTGTCTCCATGGCGACGGCAGCTGCCATAATAAGCAAAGGCACTAAAACCCCACCAGTCGACACAACACCTGACCGCAGACGCTGGATAGATTCCGGAAGTCAGAACTTCACCTTCCTGTCCTGGGGCAGTGTGGGATAGAGGGAGTGGGCCGAGCCTAGCTCCGGGCCTCTCAGCCCCGCCCATCCCTGTCAGCCCCGCCCCGGCCCCGCCCATGCAAGCTTTCGAATGGCTAGGAGGTGGTGCGAGAGCCAAGCCCGCTGGCCCTCGCCCCAGGGAGCGCTTGAGAGTGCGGGGCTGTTAGCCCCTACAAGAACCTCAGTATACGTGTCAGCATGTCGTAGCACTCTCGCCTGTGACAGCATCGTAGGCTTCCACCATTGTGCCTGCGATGACATAATACGTCATTATGACGTCATTCCTTAACAAGTGACTCAGTGTCGTAACCCAGAGGCTTGATTGTGGGTGACCGTTGGGCTGTGAGGCCTCACTGGTCCACGATACAGCCCCAAAATGGCCTCGCCCCTTAGGGGTAAGCCTTCTTCGCCCCGAGTGGAGACGACTCGCCGTAAGGAGACTTCGACGGTTTGCGTGGAGACATCGTCCCACCGCATGGAGACATCCTCTCGGCAGGTGCGAACATCTACCCGTCAGGTGGAGACCTCCCAGCGCCGCAGCGAGGGGCCCTCCATTGCCCCCTCTGGGAAGCTGCTCCCTCATATCCTCGAGGTGTCCTCTCAGCACGTGGAAACCTCCTCCCAGCGCACGGAAACGTCCTCCCGCCACATCCGAGCCTCAACTCGGCGAGTGGAGACGTCTCTGCACAGCGTGGAGAGCCCGGCCCGGCGGGACAAGCCGGCACCCCGCCAAAATGTAAAAATGGCTCCATGAAATGCTTTCCAAAGGCCACGAGAGGGCCCTGGCCCTTAGCCAGAGAACAGTTGCCTCCAGTTTCCAGCCAGTCGGCTGCCAGGTGGACCAGTTGTCTTTGGTTTCATGGAACCAGGCCATAAATCAATGTGAGAAGCAGCCAAGCTGTGATTTCTGGATTCAGCCCATGGTTATTGACCACGCTGCACCTTCGACCATCCCACCTTTGACCCAGGGACTACTTGAAGCCAACACAAAAAGTTTTCAGGCCTATGATACTGTATAAATTGGGCTGGATGGACAAAGAGGCTGTTTGAGCTTCTGAACCAGGTGAGTTTTGAATTGATAGCCACTGATAGAAAGACCTTTACAGCCCCAAACTTATGGAACGGGGACTAAGCTGAAAGTAATCATGACCTGCTAAAAACCTGAGGGGCAAGGAACAGAAGTTCATTAATTAATTGGCCTTTATGTTTCAAAATAACAATTGTTTTCTTTATGCCAAACACTTGTACATGGTACCCGTGACCACACACTTTTTAACAGAGGTCAAAGATAGTTAAAAATGAAAGATGAAGGTAAACAACAACTTCAAAAATCAATAATCCTAGAAGGGAAGTGAGAGGAGGTCACTGAAACCTGACCTGAGGTTTGAGGAAGATGGAGGGGAGGAATATTTATTGATTACCAGCTAGTGCCAGGTACTGTTCTAAGCACTGGGCCACAGCAGTGAACAAGATAGACAAGGTCCCTGCTCTCATGGAGCTTCTTCTTGTTAGTTACCATCGTGTCAGCTCCAGCTCATAGCATCCCCATGTGCAACAGAATGAAACGTTTCCTGATCCTTCGCCATCTTCATGATCTTCCAGCATTGATTCAGACAATGTTTTGCTGATCCACAGGGTTTTCATTGGCTGATTTTCTAAAGTAGATTACCTGGCCTTTCTTCCTAGTCTGTCTTAGTCTGGAAGCTCTGCTGAAACCTGTCTACTATGGGTGACCTTTCAAATATTGGTAGCATAGCTTCCAGGATCATAGCAACACGCAAACCGCCACAGTACGACAGACTGACAGACGGGCAGTGGTCATGGAGCTTACATTCTAATAAAGAGGCCGGCAACAAACAAGAAGACAATTTTCTATTGTAATTAGCACTGTGAAGGAAATAAACAAGCAATGTGATAGAAAAGGAGGGTAAGGATGTTATTTAGAGAGGATGGTCAGGGAAGGCCTTGCTGAGGAGGAAATACTTGATCTGAGATTTGTATGCATGAACAGTGAGCCATGCAAAGATCTGGAGAAGATGCATCTTTGGCAGAGGGAACAGCAAGTGCAAAGGGTTGGTTAGGACCAAACTTGGCAAGTTTGAGGAACAGAAAGAAGACCAGTGTGGCTGGAGCTTCGTAAGTGAGAGAGAGCATGATATGGAAGAGATGAAATTAGTTAAATAGGCAGGGGCCAAATCATAGAGCATCTTGTAAGACATGATAAAGAGCTTGGATTTTATTCTAAGCTCAATGGGAAGACATTGGAGGGTTTTCATCAGGGGAGTGACATTACGCAATTTACATTTTTAAATGATCTTTCTGGCTTCTGAGTGTAGAATTGATGTAGGGCAGGGTTCTCAACCAGGGGTGATTTTGTCCCCCAGGGGAGATTTGGCAGTGTTTAGAGACATGCTTGTTTGTCAGAGCTGGTGGGGGGTGCTACTGGCGTCTAGTGAGTAGAAGCCAAGGATGCCACTCAGCTTCCTACAATGCACAGGACAGCGCCCCCACAACAAAGAATTATTTGGCCCAAAGTGTCAAAAATGCCAAGACTGAGAAACCCTGATGTAGGGAACAATAGAGGAATCATGGAGATTATTTAGGAAGCTAATGCCATGCTCCAGCAAGAGATGATAATGGCTTAGTCTAGGATGGCAGAAGTGGAGCTAGAGAGAAGTGGACAGATTAGGTATGTGTTTTCAGGCAGAGCTAGCCTGACTGATTGATTAGATATGGAAGGTGAGGGAAAGAGGAACAGAGGAATCAAGGATGACTTTTAAGTTTTGGGTAGAGCAGTCTGGTGTATGATGGTGCCGTTTACTGAGATGAGATATATTTCGGAGGGAAAATCAATTCAGTTTTGGCCATATTGAGTTTGAGATGCTTATATGATAACCAAGTGGAGACATTGAGTGGCAGTTGAATTAAGAGGCTGGCTACCATGAGAGAGGTGAGGATTAAAAATATAAAAGGTGGGGTCATCAGTACATAAATGGCATTTAAAGCCATGGGACTGTCAGTTGCTCAGCTGCCAGTTTCTGCCCCCTTCATTTTATGTTGCATGAATAACATTAAGACCTTGTTCTTAAAGGAACACTAACAGACCAAAGCATCCATTCCCTCTCTCTCACCGCCATAGGGCCGGGCTTAACCCACCTAATTTTCCCTTGCCTGCAGTCCATTGGCAGCTGCCAATAAGGGAGAAAGTTTGCTTCACAAAACTTGACTTTCACAGCCAACATTATTACACTGCTACTGGGAAAGTCTTAAGCCAGTTTAAACCAGTTTTTTGGCCAGGAGTGTGGAGGCACAGATATTAATGTGTAGTTCTAGCCCCAGGTCCTCATGAGATAACTAAGGAACAACTGAATTGATTTCTAACAGTGGTTCTCAGCCAGGAGCAGTTTTGGCAAGGGGACAGTTGGAAATGTCTGGAGATATATTTGGTTATCACAACTGGGGCCAAGGGCAGGGGTGGGTACTTCTGGCATCTAGGGGTGTAAGCCTGGTATGCTGCTAAATAACCTACAAAGCACAGGTCAGACCCTGCAACAAGGAATTACTCAGTTCCAAATGTCAAGAGTGCGGAGGCTGGGGAACTTTGAAGTGTCTAGCAGCCTTGTCCTTTGGGGAAGCGCCCAACCTCTTCAGAGCAGTTGTTTTATGTGAGGCCTATGCAGTAACAGGAGAGGGTTAGAGATAGTCACCTCTGGTGAAGAACAGGGCAGGAGAGCTCAGAGGAGAGGGATACGTTGCTCTTTGAGGAACGGTTACATCCCTGCTTTCAATAATTTATGTGATATTTACCCCAGGAAGACAGACAGTCCCATCTGTGGGCTATAAGTTATGTTGGTAACGTGGGACCACATTGTAAGGTAGCGTACTTGCTATTGCCAGGCACTGTGCTAACTCATTACCCACATTATTCGTTTAATTACAGGGAAATACACTGGGCTCTTCCATTGTATAGGGTCTCGGGCCAGGAGAAATGTTACAAAATCCCAGAGGCTAACCTAATGCTTCTACTCATAAAACTTCTGCTGTAAACTAATAATTAGCCTTTGGGAATTTTAGTCTTTGGTGAGCTTACTAATTCTTTTTAACATGGCTGACTGTGGGCATTACATACAAACACCCTCTTAATCAGTGTTTTTAAAACTTTTAAAGTAGTTGCTTCTCTTTAACAGTGCTCTTTATTAATGTTTTTTATTACAAAAGTGATATGTACTTAACAAATGAAATAAGTCAAAGATGTGTAACCATTTGTCGTCATTCCTTTCCATCGCCATCCTCTGGAAATAATTAATGTCAGCCACCTGGTGTGTATCCTTTCAGACCTTTTCCATTATCTAACTGCTGTTATCTCACTTCGTAGTGGTACCTGGGAGACTGGTTTGATGGTTGCTATGAAAAAGCCAAACACCTGGTTCCTAGATGATTCATTCTGTTGGAAGAATACAGGATTCCAGGAGCGCCTTGCTTTTTGTTATTCTTGTTTCATAAGAAGAGTTTACCTAGGTTTCTTCCCAATTTCATTTATTCATGTTTCAAAGCTGAAATCCACAGAAGTACACAGAGAGCAAGAAAAGTGTCGAAAAAGACAAGCGACATGAAGAAAAAGGATGGGGCAAGCTATCTGACATGCATACTTTTACACATCAGATCCCACAGCTTTAAAACAATCCTGTATGTTAAAGATGCTTATATCTGTTTGTCATCATTTTTCATGTACCTGCTACATATTACAAGCATGTGTTACCCATACTGTGTGTCATCCTCCTCACATTGTCCTCTCTTGGAAGCCCCAAAGGAACAAAGGTGCTCTTGTACTGGCGACATAATATATAACGCTGAGCACGATGGGTGTGTAATAAAGAGTGAAGAGCAATGGTATCCCTCCTTTCCCAGCCAGGACAGCTTTTAAAGGATTGATCTAATAATCCTTGGATTTATTGTGCTATGCAGTAGCTGCGACTTGCCTTTACTTGTTGCCAACCAGGTTAGTTTGAAAAACTAAATGAGTACAAATCCTTCTAAGGAAGGAGTGAGCACTTCTCATTCTCCCCAGCATCCACTCATTTGTATACAAGCCAAGGTAAGCTTGTAAAATTCAGCATGTATCATTGCTGCCAGTTGTGCTGAAAATACTTTAAATGAAAGAATGCCATTGATAGAATACATTTTCCCCAGACCACACAAGCTATGGGAAGAACCAAGAGCCCAGCCAGCAAGAGACTGGGTTCAACTCCTCATCTAGATTTCCCAGGATTCCTGTTCCTCTAGTCTTTATGTTGCCCTCACCCTAGTTTGGACCAAGTATTCAGGTCCTAGCTACTTGACCCAAACTCTACACCACCACCACCTCAGTCTTTAACTAACATGAGCAATCTTTTCTTCTGCTTCCCTTACCAACAACCTAAACCCTTACCACCCTGAGTATCACCCTGAGTATCTGTATCCATTAGAATTGCATGGCTGCAAATAACAGAAAGCCTGCCCCAAAGTGGCTTAACAAATAGGGATTTGTCTCATACAACAAGAAATCCAAGAGTAGGCAGTCTTGGACTCGTATATCATCCCAGCAGTGCCATCAGGGATCCAGTCTGTTTCTGTTTTTCTACTTTACCATCCTTAGTGCATTAGTTTTTGCCTTCATGCTTACTGCCTTATGGTTATAAGATACTTCTGTACTTCCGTTTCTCGTATCTGCATTCCGGGCAGATAGAAGGAAAGGGAAGGAGCAAAATATTTTTCTCCTAGCAAGGGTTTGCCTTATTAGATGGGAGGAGAA